AGCCAAAAAATCTGAAAAATATACAAATACAGTTTTTATCTATGTTATATAGAATATAGATAGGAATTTTAAATTTGAATTTGGACGAAATTAGGTATTTGAATAAAAAATAAAGAATTTAGTTAAGTAATTTAAAAATACTATTCGCTATTATTTGAGATTTTAAAATTATATTTTGTATTTTATACATACAATGAAATTTTGAAATGCAAGTTTTTAGGAAAAAATAATTCAATCTACTTTATTACTGATTTTAATAGTAAAATAGATTACTTTAATAGCAATAATACCTACAATACTTAGTAATATATCTTGACACTCTGACCGACTATCTTTGATAAGAATCGTTTTTCGAGTATAAATAATTTTAGATCAATCAATTTATATTTAACACATTCTTTACAATTGCTCCACTATACCTAATGTACGACAGAGTGGTACTTATTCACTTCCCATTTTTTTTTAATTTAATTAAAAATGATTATTGATAAAATCTGAATGAAAATTATGAAATTTAAATAGAGGATTATCAATTATTATAATAATGTATAATATGTCAATGTTATTGTTTATTTATTGTGTATACGTGATTACTGATTACCAAGACATTGAGAAATATTTCATCATAAAAACCTAAATAAAAATACGTACCCAATTAAAAACGCAATTGGATTTTATTTTTTGGTCTTATGTATTTATACTTTTTTTTACCATGAAATATTTTTATTCAAAATGTTTACCATTTATCATTTTAACTTCTGTGTTTGTCTGAATTCATTTGTATGTTCATCAATAAACTAAGATCAATCGATAAAATCGATGCATTATACTCTATACAAATCAGAAATTATGTCCGTATTTGTAAGGAAATTAAAGTTTTATCTGATGAAATCAAGGTTTGCATAGTATACGTAATTATACCGTGATATATATTTAAAATATTATGCATGTATATTACATATAATATTATTTTATTGTTGAGAGATTRCATTGTTGGACTATCAATCATTKTATGGGACGATCTTTTGAATTCAAGCCTTAATAGTCACATTATTATAACAGATATAATAGAAAATTAAGACGACGCATTCAATGCGTTTATAAGCTATAACTTACTTTAGTTTTCAACTTCTTGGATAACTTATGCACCCAATATGTAATAGAATACCCGTCTAATTGAAGGTCCGTGACTTTGGATCTAAATTCCATGTCTAGTTTTGTTTATTTGCGATTTAATAGATGATTATGCCGCGAGTTTGTCGGATGAACTCAGAAACTTTGAAATTAGGGTCAAAAACGTTGCCCCAAACAAAACCAAACAAAAATAAACGAGTCCACAAGCGTAACGACATCAGCCAAGTGACATGGATTTGAAGGACACCCAATAATTTAATTACATCCGCTACCATAATATATTATATTATATTCCTTTTAGAAGGCAACTTGTTGAATAAACAATTTTTATGTTAATTCTTCAATAAAATWATCTCCTCAAATTTGCATCTAATTATTAACGCCGGCACTTGCATTAACAATCATATTAGTTTTATTTATTGATCTT